GGACTAACCCTGTATTTCATTTGATGTGCTTTATCATGACAAACCAGAATATATATGGTTTAGGGGTGGGGATCTCAACCATTTACAAGATATTAGAACTTTCTCAAATGGCAGGGGGTCGGGATGACCCCTGGGGACTAACCCTGTATATCATTCAAACCATCTCAGCATGACAAACCAGAATATATATGGTTTAGGGGTGGGGATCTTGACCACTTAGAAGATATTAGAACTTTCTTAAATGGCAGGGGGTGGGGGTGACCCCTGGGGACTAACCCTGTATTACATTTGATGTGCTTTATTATGACAAACCAGAATATATATGGTTTAGGGGTGGGGATCTTGACCACTTACAAGGTATTAGAACTTTCTTAAATGGCAGGGGTTGGGGGTGACCCCTGGGGACTAACCGTGTATTTCATTTAATGGGCTTTATCATTTAGAACATTTTCAATTAAAAAGATTGTGTCTATCACAAACGGTTTTCAATTTATAATCATTTGAAAATTTAAAAAAATTAAATCCCATAGGGTTCTATAGTAAAACCCTCTTTTCTTTTTGCCCCTCAAAGTACCCCTTTATAAACCCCATTGCACAAACAGAAGAAGAAGAAGAAGAAGAAGAAGAAGAAGAAGAAGAAGAAGAAGAAGAAGAAGAAGAAGAAGAAGAAGGAGGAGGAGGAGGAGGAGGAAGGAGGAGGAGGAGGAGGAGGAGGAGGAGGAAGAAGAAGAAGAAGAAGAAGAAGAAGAAGAAGAAGAAGAAGAAGAAGAAGAAGAAGAAGAAGAAGAAGAAGAAGAAGAAGAAGAAGAAGAAGAAGAAGAAGAAGAAGAAGAAGAAGAAGAAGAAGAAGAAGAAGAAGAAGAAGAAGAAGAAGAAGAAGAAGAAGAAGAAGAAGAAGAAGAAGAAGAAGAAGAAGAAGAAGAAGAAGAAGAAGAAAAAGAAGAAGAAGAAGAAGAAGAAGAAGAAGAAGAACAACAACAACAACAACAACAACAACAACAACAACAACAACAACAACAACAAATGACACAAAGTACTGATCTATGAGAAGTTAGATTCACTGAAAGCTAGTTCAAAGACCAATTGCAACTAATAAATAAATCAGTTCTCCCAGACAAAAAGTTGGTTAGTACATTTTCAACTGATGGGCTAGTTTTCATTAACTTTGAGTGCTCTGATAATTGTATACTGGTGTTTTACTTGTACCTTTGTTTTTTTGTTGTCTATTACACAGGTTTTATAATGTTCAGTGTCATTCTGTTTTTTAATTGCACATACATGTAGTGTTAATAGCAGATCTCTGATAGTCTCAATGAAATATAGTCAAACTTATCTAGACTCGGATAGAACTTGACATATTATATGGGCTCTTTGTCTTAGCTGTTAAAATCCTAGATGTTTTATTGGTCTTTTGTCTCACTGATATATGATACCGGGTACACCTAACATTTTTATATAAAATATTGTTGTAATATACATGTTAAATTTCTCTTTCCAAAAGTTGTACGAAAGATTTAAGACTGGTCATTCTTAAATCATCTCATATATCCTTAGACACTCTGGTTTTCTGTTAATGTCCAATATATTCTGACACTCGCTTACATTTATTGTCGAGCCTGCGACTTTTGTCACAAAAGCGAGACATAGTGATCATACATTCCGTCTGCGGCAACCACAAATATTCACTCTGTGATTAAAGTTTTTGAAATTTTAATAACTTTCTTAAAATATCCTGGATTTCTACCAAACTTGGACAGAAGCTTGTTTATGATCATAAGATAGTATCCAGAAGTAAATTTTGTAAAAAAAAAATCCTGTTTATCTGTATTTTACTTATAAATGGACTTAGTTTTTCTGCCAGTTAACATTACATTCACTCTGTGGTTAAAGTTTTAAAAATGTTAATAACTTTCTTAAACTATCCTGGATTTGTACCATACTTGAACAGTAGCTTTTTTATGATCAAAAGCTAGTATCTAGAAGGAAATTTTGTAAAAATTTATTTCCTGTTTTTCCGTATATAACTTATAAATGGACTCAGTTTTTCTTCCAGTTAACATTACATACAGTCTGAAGTAAAAGTTTTTAAAACAATTATTAGATTCATAAACCATCCTGGATTTTTACCAAACTTGGACAGAGGCTTCTTACAATCAAAAGATAGTATCTAGAGGAAAATTTTTAATAATTTTTTCCCCATTTTTGTTGAGTCTGCGACTAACAGTAAAAGTATGCTAGACACTGTGTTCCACAGAACCTTTACAAATTTTGTACAGTTAATTCAGAAATTATTGTTTTTTTTTAATGCCAATAATGTGACTGGTTGAGTATCGCAATAATAAAATCTCGCATTCTGTCAGCTGATACATATATTTGTATGGAGATTTTCCCTGAAATTGTAACTTAATCTCGCATTTTTGTCCTTTCTTCAAAAATCGCAATAATAAATGTACGCAATAATTTCTGAATTTACAGTATTTGCTTTCCAGAAACACTTTTCCTGTGCACTGGAATTGGTGCCATAATCATCAATTAAATCAAAGAAAAACATTGGCTGTTCTAATTATTTTATTATAAACATTTCTAAAGAAGGAAATAATATAAAAACTGATTATCTATAAATAAATATATTTGATAATAAAAAAAAAAAAAATAGAAAGTATTTATTTTAAAAGTGCAAATCTATTCAAGAAGCATGCCTTTTCTGTTTTCAACAATAAACCAATTTGAAAAATCAGTGGTATCAAAATAGGTTTCTTTACTTGCACAACTTGTATTTCCATAATTGTTTTTAGTTCCCTGTTTTATCATTTCACTGCCTTTTATAGCTTATTATAGGGTACGTGTTTTGCTCACTGTTGAAGGACATATAATTGTTCACATAATTAGTCTTTTAGTTTTTATGGATAGTTGTATCACTGGCAATTATACCACATCTCCTTATTTTGATATTAAAAAAACTTTACAATTAAACAATGTTATAATTCCTCACTGGTGCATGAAAAAGAGCCTCATAATCTCAACAAAAATGACATGCAAGGAGGCTAATGCAAACAGCATACCAAATATCAATGGTCTAACAGATGTTCTTCATAAACACTTTATAGCAATCAGAAAACTACACATTTAAGTTTTGGAGTCAGTGTCTGAGGGAGGGGGAAATATTTACTGCACAAATATGAAATAAATGCATTCTAATGCAAATAATTAGAAAACTGAATGTTGGAATATAAACACTTCAAAGTCACTGCAGCATGACTATGGAGACACAGCCCTGTGTTCTCCCTAAAACTAAATTGCATAGATAATCATGGATGCTAACGCAAAAGCTTACCCTATATCAATGATTAATCTTCAAGGCTTCTTCATAAGGACACAGTAATCAGAAAATTTAATATCTAAAGTTTGAAGTCACTGAAGCCAGATGACTCAGCCTCATAGACTGTATTCAATTGAGATACATAGATGCTGATTTAACCTTTATAATCATTTTAAAATGGAACTAGCAAGAAAACTTGTTAGGCATTGATAGATAGATCAAAAATGTTGACACCTTTGCTATTTGTTGCAGATGAAATTTAAACTATATCATAATCATATAACATACACTAACAGGAAATCAAAATATTTTTTTCATTTAGTTGAAATGTCAATTTCTTTATAAAAAGTATAAAACTGTCATATTTACACTGATTTACATATATATAAGCAAAAAATCAAATTTTTCATACAAAAAAGCAGTTTAAAAGTTCATAAAAAAAAAAGTCATGAATTGTGACAATATATTATATTTCCTTGGGCCTTTCCTGTAATCATACAACAGGGGATGTTGGGAGGCACTTCAGTATAAAAGTTAAAGGCATTTGGTTATTTTGCTGTTTGAGGTTTCAGATGGTATTAAGTATAAAACAATAAAAATGCATGGTATATGGTTTACAAAATTTGCCTCTCAACCCCAAAGTACAGTCTAGAACAGCCCTTATCTTTAATATATTTAAACTTTAGCAATGAAATATGAATCATTATGTGTTACTGGAAGTTGCATTACTTCTTAAAATGCAGCTCAACTTATTTGAATGAAAAAACAAACATCACTGAACATGCTGAATATAAGTGTAAAAAATTGAGTGGAAAAGTGATGTTGTTACTTTGACTTGACTGTTAGTGTTGCTCTCCACCTATTGCAACTTATTAAAAATTCTGACCAAATTGCAATTTGTTTTATAAAACCAAACTGTTCAACTGGTCAGAAATTTGAACAAACTGCTTTAGAAAACCACAGTCTAGCCACAAAAGTGCAAGGTGATAAAATAAAGCATACTTACAATCCTATAAGACTTTAATTCCACTTCAATGTTATTCTGAAAAATCAGTCTAACAGTTTGTATAGAAATTTTATTGTTATTTTCATGCTAAAGGTGATGGATAGAAATTTTGAGTTGCTATAAAAATGTCCAAACTAAATTTCATACAATTTTTCTTTCGAAAAGTCTTCTGTATTCATAAGAATCAGACATCGTTTGAATTAAAACATTTTATATTCAGTAAAATATATGTAAAATTACAATATGTTAATAAGATTCCATGGGAGATAACCTAAAACATTATTCTTTTGAATATAGAAGACTTTTCGATAGAAAGATTGATTATCTCCTATGGAAACTTCCTAAAAACGTATTGTAATTTCACACATATTTTACTGAATATAAAATGTTTTAATTCAAGTGATGTCTGATTCTTATGAATATAGAAGACTTTTCGAAAGAAAAAATGTATGAAAACTTAGTTTGGACATTTTTATAGCAGTTTAAAATTACTACCTATCCCTTTAGCATGACAATAACAATAAAATTTCTATACAAACTGTCAAACTAACTTTATAATAACATTGAAGTGGAATTAAAGTCTTATAGGATTGTAAGTATGCTTTATTTGATCACCTTGCACTTATGTAGCTAGACTGTGGTTTTCTACAGCAGTTTGTACAAATTTCTGACCAGTTGAACAGTTTGGTTTTTATAAAACAAATTGCAATTTGGTCAGAATTTTGAATAAGTTGCAATAGGTGGAGAGCAACACTAACAGTCAAGTCACAGTAAGTAATGATAAATCTTGCATTAAAAATTTGTTATTACTATTTATTTTTTTGGGGGTGGGGTCATTTTTAGTATCTCAGCAATTCCATGTAACAATTAAATTGATTAATGTTCAAAAATCAATATAAAATAGGAAATGTGGTATGATTGCTTAAGAGACAAATATCCACCAAAGTAAAGGTAGCCAGTCCCCTCACAAGGACAAAGCCTAGCTATTCATAAAACTGGTTTAGTTCTTACTACACTTCAACTAGATCTATGATGTATCATTGCCACTGTTCAATTGCATACTAAAACAACCTTATTATTAATAGACCAGGCAAAAGAAAAGTAATACAACTATTGCACAAAATGTAGTTAAGCATGTTAAGGAAGAACCAAATATTTAGCATTAATGAAATGATATGTCCTGCCCATTTATTGTTAAACAATATGTCCTGTCCATTTATTGTTAAGCAATATGTCCTGCCATTTTTTAAAGGTCAGGGAATATATAAAAATTAACATGACCTAACTGGAAGCCCATTAAAAATTAAACTCAAACTTGGCATTATATAAAATATATATTTTATACAAAATGTGCAAGTTTACTGATCTCTTTTTTCCCTTCCAACAGTTATATTACCGGTATTTGTCTACCCAACATTACTTAGTTTACCTGTCACCTATATATAAAAACATGTTCTGACTAAAAGCCCATGAAAAATCAAATTGAAACTAGGAAACATACCCTATCATGTATAAGATAAAAATGTAATATGATATGTTTAAATTATCTATAATTTTTTTTTTCTTCCTAATAGACAACATGGATAAATATCCGCTTTAACAAAACCTTTAACCTGTCAGCAATTATATAAACATGCTCTGAAGGGAAGGCTATAAGAAAAAATTAACAGAAACTACAAAATATAAGCATTATGTACATACATGTACGGTAATATTATTTGTACATTGTCTAAAAAAAATCTCTCCTACATTCTAAGTTCATGTACCTGACAATATATAATTACAAGAGTTAAAAAATAATTATTTTTATAAAAATAATATCTTAAATCAACATTTTGGGTAAAAATTAACTAAACAATTGCAAAACACTAACTATTGATGAATTCTTCATTTATATCTTTGCATAAAGATATGGCCACATTAAAATACATATATAAAAGATTTTGCTACTTACATAACAGTATACAAATAACAACAAAAACAAGGCAACGTGCAAACATGCTGAGCTAATATATTAATAAATATTGTATCAATTAAGGCATAAATTAAATTTGCTTTTGCACAGGCATATATCATTTGAAAGGAAATTCCTGTTGTACAGTCAGTAGGCTCTTTCTTGTAGGGATCATCCATGGTTCTGGTTCCATTTCACTCTTCAATATATAATTTCCTTTTTCTCTCAGTTGTGGCAACTCTGCATGTATTCCCTGAACAACTTCTTTGTCAAGAATACAATATATCTTCAAACAGGTCAACTGTTTACAAGTATGTGCTAAGTCTAGCAAAGCTACACCTAACTCATATGAATTTCGTGTTTGGAGCACCAAGGTTTCCAGTGTGTTACAATAAAACCTGGAAACATTTTTTATCTCGTCGATCAAAATTGTGAAAGTTTCCAATCTAAGTTGTTTCAGTGGTATTTCTGGTTTTAATACATCTGCTACTTTCACTTGAGGTACTGTGTGGTCAAAATGCAATGACACTCTAAATTCTGGAATTTTTGCTACCAGCTTAGCCCAAGCATCTGAAGTTAGATCGCTTTCATATTTCAATTCTCTTCTGCACCCAATAGCAATATATTGTATTGGACTTCTGTCATCTTCTGCTAAGGTTTCTAAGATTTCATCTGATAGACTTGTGTGATATACTCGCAAATCTCGTAACTTTTGACATCTTTTGACCAGACGCAAAATGCAATCAGGTGTTACTTTGCAAACCAGAATTCTATTAAAAAGATTGAGATACTCAATTTCTGGATGGTTTTTAGAAAGTTCATCAATCAAACTGTCATCAAAAGCAGCCTGTAAACCACTTAGGTTCACTTCTACAAGACTATGCCTAGGGGACAGTTCGTCTGGGATAGATCCAAAAAAGGTTTTCAAAGCTTCTACAAATTCTAATCCTGCATAGAAAAGTGGATTCTCTCCAGTAAAATAGATCCCAAATTTATGTAATTTACCCTGTCTGACTTTGCAAAGTAAATTAATGATTTCAACAGCACATTTTCTCTTTTCAGCATCTTTTTGATAAAGGTAGATTGACACATCACGGAAATGACGTCCATGTTGGACAACACAGTCTGCAAAGTTTCTAAATTCTGCATTGTCTTTATTTAAATTGAACTCAAATGTCCGCCATAAATACTGTGAATGAAAACATTGCTGCCAAGATTTACATACCAAAGAAGCATGGTATCGTTCACTTAGACTAAGATAACCAAGTACATTGACAATTATATGGTCAGGAATTTGTTTCCAAACATCAATTTCCATGGTTGCTTTCTACAATATATCTGTCAATGATACCATATATCCTGTAAAAAAGTATGAAAACATTTTTTATTTGAATACATAAAGTGATTATTCAGAAATGTTTCTAACTTAAACAAGTTAAAATTTCAGCCATAGCTATTAGATTATACATTGTAGCTGCTATTACATAATTTATATCCGACTTGACTTGCATTTCTGCAAACAATTATCTTCTAATCTTTATAGTAAATTAATGTCATTTTAGATATTTAATTTGTTTTTTAAATCTATGAAGAGCAAATCTGGAAATTAAATCATGTTCTAACATAAATGTTTAGGTTTTGATGTCATTTTGTTTTGCAAAAACTAATAACATGTCAAAGAATTATTTAAAAGTAATTTTGGAAAATGTTCAGATAATTTTGACTTAAAATTTCACAGCAATCCAAAATTATATACGGTTAAAATCATATACTTCAAAATATATGAATGAACAAAGAGATGAACAAGTGTCCATAAACGTACCTTACTATGATGTTTGTCGAAGGATCATGGATTTTCTTGAGGAGTGTACAGAAAGGAAGTTGTTTTCAAGTGAAAAAAAAAATCTTTCATGGTGTTAATTTAAGGAAAAGACCAATGATGTAAGATTATATTCAGCAATTAGTTTCAAGTGTGTTTCAGACAAGACAGGTGCATATATTTTTGTGGGAGAAGAAAGGTTAAGACTTGACACCAGACAGACTGCAAGGTAAAAGTGATTGAAAATTTAGGGTTGTGGTGTGGGGATTTTGGGACTTAATTGGGTTGAGGGATGATATACATGCAGATAAGTATATCAGCATTCTAGATAATAACATTCAGCCCATTATTGTTGAACACTTTCCTGAAAACACTACCTTTTCAAAGATGACAATGCACCACTGCATAGGGACTGATCAGCCAAAGCTTACTTGGCATGAAAATGTCTATAAAATATGAGCTGGCTTTGATAATCACTCGTCAAGAAAGAATATTACATTGAAAATGTATGGTTGTATATAAAAAGAACACTTCAGCTACAAGTGTATAAAATTAATTCCAACAATAAACTGTGCTGGGAATATTCCACATAAGGCAAATTAAAGGGGGGGGGGGATTAAGTTCGTTCGTGAGTTAGGGCTTAAGATGGATGGCCACAGTGCTGAAGGTGCTGTTTCGATTCTGACTCGGGGTACAATAAATTAGAAGGGCGATTATCACCCTCTCACACACAACTCTGGTACCCATACCGGAGTTTAAACTAGAATGGGTACTAATTTAGAGCCACAGTTAGTCAAAGTTGAGCCAGACTTTGACCTAGATATCAATCTGCTGATATCTCTTCCGTTTGTTCCAATGAGTAGCATGTGGTTCTTTCCAAGTACTTTGGCTTCCTCCACCATAATAACAGACTTCTCGGTGTAAAACATTTGTAACACTGACCCTTTGTGATGGGGTGGGGATTAATTGTTCTGGTAAATATGTTAGTGACACATCTCCATTAATCCAAATAGGGAGTCTACACGGTTCCACTGGCTGTAGATTCCGAGGGTCCCTGAATAACAGAGGAATCTACCAGTACATCCATACAGTAAAGGAAAGGGGATTGGCAGTTAGGGGGAAAGTCAGGGACCCTGGGTGAGGCTGTTCACCTCCTCTGAATTATGTTATCATCTGACATTTACATGGAAGTAATACTGAATCCAGAAAACAATGTTTATTAATCTAATAATCTAAGTCAGAAAAGTTTATCTCCATTATTTACTTGTGTAGCCTACACTGTAGGTAAATACAAATTATATACCAACTAAAATATTATAAAGATCATGAATGGCGAATTATAACTTACTGCAATACAATGTCGACGCCAGTTGGAATGCATTAACAGAAATATGTACGTTGCAATACAAGAATCATCTCGTAAAAGTCTTAGGGCAGCAATAACTTCTTCATTGATGACTGAGATGACAGCTGATAACTGGAAATTCACTTTTCCGGAAAATTATTTGTCAACAAAGGTACATATATAGAAAGATCTTCCGAACAATCGTAATCTAACAAGTTTTAATTAATGACAATTGGATTTGCATATCGACAATCAGATTATCTTTGATTAATTCGTTTAGGCGTGCCGATGTGAAATTGGGCTTTTTAAAAACAATTATGAAGTCCGTATCCGTCTTTTTTCCATTGTTTTCATCTTTATTTGGACTGGTTCCCTGTCTCGAAGAATTTGATCAAGAATCAGTATACATAAGGGTGACATGTGAAGCTCAAAAATGAGTGTAACACTAACTAAGGCTATAGTTCAAACCACAAAAAGTAATTCAGATCGTTTATATATGTAGAAATATATATTAGGTTTTAGTGAAAATTTTGGACGCCATTCTGTATCTGCATCCCATGAATATAAGCACACCTCCTTATTTCAATATTTGAAGTAAAAGTTTATAAAAAATTATACACAAGTCACTGAAATCCACCATCACGGCATCAGTATATTTAAACTTCACATATGCGGTAGGTCTTTTCACCGCCGAACACCACCGCACACAACAGAACAGAACAAAACTGTCTGCTGAACACCCCAAAATAATCTAAAACTGAAAAAAACCAATATATGGTTATATTATCTTATCTATTAAACAGATTTTAGTAAAAAGGTTAACAAATAATAGGGAAACGAGACCAATTAATAACACCCAAAAGAGTCATCAACACTGCAAAATAATGCAGAACACCCATAATTATACTTTTTTATCATTTTTTTTCAGTTTATATATTCTAACTTTTGTTGTAATTAAGTGAAAAGATTAACAAATAAAAGGAAATCATACCGAATTTTAACTGTGTACAGAATAGGAGAGTAACCGACCACACTGAAGTTGACTGAACACCGTAAAACACCGCCGAACACAAGAAAAATCTTTTTTTTGCTATTTATTTTGTCTACTGGTTATAATTTAGTAAAGAATTTCAACAAGTGTTAAATAAGGTTTGATAGGTTTAATAATGAAATAATAAGATAACAAATAAAAGGAAATAAGAACAAATATTTACATCGAAAAAATAAAAGAGTCCCTGAACACATTGAACACAGCCGAACATCCAGAAATATATTGTTTTATCATTTTTAACAGTGAAAAACACGTACTTATACAAATAATAAGACTAAAGCTTTAATTTAAATAGATCGATGATACTGAATAATGATTGTATTTTTCATAGTTTTAATTTACTTTTGGGGTGTTCGGCGGTGAAAAGACCTACCCCATATAATGAACTATGACAAGACATAGTTACTAGGGAAAACACTCAGCAATCCATATAATAAAAAAAAAAACATCTGTAAGGCAACATAAAGTGGTCAACACACGGATGGCCTGATAACAATTAATTTGTAGTTAATGTAGGTTTGTGGCCTAAAGACTGATGGATACAGTACTGAAAGTCCCGTGTTCAATCATGACTCTTGGCTGGAAATTTCTGTACATTGAGTAGGGTGATTTTCAACCTCCCACACAAATCTCTGGTTACTAGCCAAGAGTTTAAACTAGAATGGGCATTTTGGGGGGTCAAAGCTTTGCAGATATCTCTTCGGTATATCTGTTCCTGCCATGGAGCCCAGTTGGTTTTTATGAGTACTTTGGCTTCCTCCACCATATTACAGCCTTCCTGGTGTCCTAACACTCCCTTTGTGTTGGGTTGGGGATTGTCCTTGGTGTAAATAAGCTAATGTATATAAATTAGTTACACATCTCCATGAATCCAGGTAAGGAGTGTACACAGACTCCGCTGTGCCCTTGCAGCTCTCAAGGGGGTCTCTGAATAATGGGGGATCTATGTACATGTACATGCACACACAGTGCATTTCTTTTGAACGATACTTGCAAATTAAAACACTTGTACCTGCCTTTTCTCAATAATATTTTTAAAGTGTAGTGTACTTCTTTTTGGAAAAATTATATCAAAATTATAGAAATCTAAATTTGGAAAAATTTATGTTAATGGGGGGTCTTGAATTCAGTTTGACAGCTTCAGACATACTAATTTTTTAACTTTTTCAACTGGACCAAATCTCACTACTTTACCATAAATTCAATACCCAGTATTTTTTTACTGCATAATTTCACCCCCACTCATCTTTATCTATCTATATATATATCACTTGAATGTTTGCTATGCATGTTTATACACATGGAGATTTGTATGAATCTTAAGGGCTGCTCCCTTTCGCTCGGACCATCTCCTCCAGCTAAGCAATCAATCCAACCAGAAGTTTGCCTTCCTTGGGATCACACTGATGCACACAACCCTTATGCAAAGAACTGAACATTTAAAATCATCTTATATTAATATTTTGCACAAGTATTATCCATTGTTTCTAGTACTGAATTGTTTGTTTATGTTGATATGACTGAATTATGATTGTATCCTTGTCATTGCCCCTCTTAAGGGACATACATTGAAATAAAACACATTGAGTTCACCATTGTATAGGTTAAAATTTTGAATTGCATGTGCTTTTATATAATAGATTTGCTTTAGTGCTTATAATGATTTTACCTATATTTTGCTCTAAATGCAATTTTGTTTCATGCAGGCATACAATCTATTTTACGGTAGTTTTATTTGTATTGTATGGGTTATTGCATGCATATTGTATGTGTTAGTTAAACGTATGAACAAGCTTATGTTACTTATTAATAAGAAGATGTGGTATGAGTGCCAATGAGACAACTCTCCATCTATTAAAGTCACAATGTGTAAAAAGTAAACAATTCACAGCCTTCAACACAGATCCTTGGCTCACACTGAACAGCAAGTTATAAAGGGCCCCAAAATGACTAGTGTAAAACAATTCAAACAGGAAACCCAACGGTCTAATCTAAATAAAAAACGAGAAATGAGAAACACTTATGAACCACATCAACAAACCACAACCACGGAACAACAGGCTGACTTAGGACAGGTGCATAAAAATGCATGGAATTCCCTTCTGGGCATGTAATCGTTGCAAAAATACTTTTTGGGTTTAAAAATATTTTACCAAGTATTATTCAATATACAACAGAAACATCTAAAACTTGAACTATAAAAGAATTAAGTGTCGTTTGGCATATTTAAATTTTTCGGAAAATTCTTTTAAAATCAAGGGCAGATAATTATATTGAATTTGATAGGATAATTTGTGTTTTTTGATTTTTCAAGAAAGTAAGGCCTGTGAACCGCTATTTTTATTTGATATTTTAGAAGTATCTATGAAAAGCAATTCTTTTATTGAATTTTAACCAATTCTATTGTTTAATGTTTCCTCAGTAAGAAAGTTTTCCCTATAGAACCCATATAAAATAACTGTAATTTCGTTAATTTCAATGTATTTTAACGAAAAAAACAAGGTCCGTGACCCCCCAAAGTCTTTTAAAGAAGTTAAAGAAAAATCTATCATCAACATTTAGACACCCAAGCTACCTTACCCACCTTACATCCTTTTTACAGAAACTTCCTTGACTTCTGAAAATTATACTTATAATGGTATTGTGTATTTTCAGTTCATTTTTTTCAACTTAGTCGACAGATCCATGTATCATCAAGACAAGAAAAGGGTAGTGCTAAGTGGAGAATCAGGTATGTTATGGAGATTTAAAATCAGATCTCAGATGTTTTGTAACTTTTTTGATTTGAACAGTTTGTATTTGTCTTATACAATCGTTTCAATATTATAGATCCAGCAATGATTTTTTTTTGTTGACGGCCATACAGAGACCTATATGTTCTTAAGTCCCCTTCTTTTGGACTCTCAGTCAATCATACCACATCTCCTTATTTTATAAAGGAGAAAATATAGAAATAAGAAGATGTGGTATGAGTGCCAATGAGACAACTCTCCATCCAAGTCACAATGTGTAAAAAGTAAACAATTATAGCATGTATACATGTAGGTCAAAGTACGGCCTTCAGCACAGAGATTTGGCTCACACCGAACAGCAAGCTATAAAGGACCCCAAAATGACTAGTGTAAAACAATAGGTTTGTATTTGAATCATTTTTCTGAAGAGCAGATAGGGAAACTGGAAGACTTTGTAATCATATTCCATAAATTGATTTTTTTTTTTATTAAACACACATTATTTTTTCTGTTTTCAGTCAGGGCCAGGCCAGATCAGGAAATGAATATGGATTATTGACTGAAATGCCAGATTACTCTTTCTTGGGTAAGTTATTCAATAAGAAAATTATTAATCTTAGAGGAGTAATTATCACTTCATTGTTGTTTTAACATTTTCAAGTTCTTTTTTCATGATTCATTGGTCAATGTTAAGATTTTGTGGTTTGATCTGTTTCTCAGGTACTATTAGCAATAGGACCACTACATTTGGTGTATGGAATGATTGTAAGGTGTACATGTCTGTCTGGCATGGTTCATCAGACCATGACCTCATTTTCATAGATCATTGAAAATGATAAGTTTATGTGATACTTGTAGTAAAACCTTCATGTTACAGACTTTCAACATGAAATCAATGATAAGTAAAACAGGCGAGACATTTCAGCCTTTGCACTCTTGTTTCTATGGTAGAAAGGTAGAAACAATAAACAGGCAGATTTTGAAAAGTGAGCATGTCAGGTTCATAGGAATCTCTTGTTCAATATATAATGATTACAAATAAGTTCAACCTTTCATCTGACCATATTCCTCTAACTTTTTCTCATTTCCAGGTAAAAAAAGTGCAGAAAATAATGTCAGGGCTATAAAATATGGTTAGGTAATAGCATTTTATGATTATTTTTTTTCTTATGATCTTGTACTACTTACTGGACCAGTTTTTTTTTGTTAAAGGTGTACATGTTATTGATACAAGGGGCAGGTTAAATTCAGTTTGGTGTATATGATATCTACATGTATATATCATATAATGTTTATGATGTTTGGTGGTTTTTTTTTGCTTCTCAGGAGTAATGGACCTTATCTAAAGAAAAACAGGGA